GAATGCACAACAATGTGAATGTACTGAATATGCTTAAAATGTAACCATCTGGGACAATTTTATGTTATGTATGTGTTAGTATTCCGTGACTGTAAAAACAAAACAAAAACACCTGAGATAATCAACTCATAAGAGAGAAAGGTATACTTTGGCTCACAGTTTTGGAGGTTTCAGTTCATGGTTGGTTGGCTCCATTGCTTTTGGGTCTGAGGTGAGGCAGCATATCATGGTGGGAGCACATGGCAGAAGAAGCTACTTACCTCGTGGGTAGCCAGGAAGTAAGAGAGAAAGAATCCATGTGCATAGAAGAGACAGAGGTCCCACAATCCCCTTTGAGGGCATTTTCCCAATCATCTACAATTCCACAGCACACCCTACCTCTTAAAGATTCCACCATCCTACAATAGCATCAAGTTGAGGATCAAGTCTCAACACACGGCATTTGGGGGACATTCCACAGCTAAAATGTATCAGCATATTTTACCACTACACAAAAAAGCCACAGATTAAAACAGAATTCAAAACACTACTTTAAAACTATTGTAATTAATACAAGATAAACAAAAAAGAATATAGGCACAAATTTAAAAACTCATCAAGATTTGTGCTCTTTACTACATGGGAGCTAAATCCTTATTAAAACAAGAAAATAAAAATGCAGTTATTACCAAATTGTACAACACTGACAACCCTGAGATCCTCCTAAGTATATACTTCATTCTCTGTATAAGGAGGACACAGTAACTCAAGCTCCAGCTGGATCCTGAGCTTTCAGGCAGCTCTTCAAAGTCTCTTCACATTGGCAAGCACATATCTACGTGATTCAGATTATTTTTCCATTCTGTGCAATCAAAATAAAATGAAATACTAAATCAGAGATTGGGATGACAAAATTATACAGATGGAATACAGATAAAATGGTTGCCAGGGGTTCAAAGGTCAGAGAGGGAAGGGGTGACTCTAATGGGGCATGGAGTATCATGGAGGTGACGGAGTCGCTCTGTTCTTGATTGTTGGGGCAAATGGGCAGATCTATATATGTGATAAATGTCTCAAACTATATCCATTCCTTGGTATCCAAGAAGCATTGATTCTAGGACCTCCTCAGTTAATAATTCTGCAGATACTCAAGTCCCTTATATAAAATGGTGTGGTATTTGCACCTAAGCAATTCTTCCATATACTTTAAATCATCTTTAGATTGTTTATAATACCTAACACAATGGGATTGAAGTCTAAATAGTTGTCATGCTCTACTGTTTAGGGACAAATGACAAAGGCTGGGAACATAGCTGAGAGATATTATTTGCCCAGCATATGCAAGGCCCTGACTATGGGTTCAATCCCCAGCACTGGGAGAAAAAAAAAAAAAAAAGTTTGCACAGTACCTTTTTTTTTTTTTTTTCGCAAACATTTTAAATCCATGTTTAGTTGAATCTGAAAATGGAGAACCCATGAATATAGAGAGCTGGCCATATATATAAAAGCATACCAAAAATAAGTGACTACCAAGTGACACTTGTAGTCATTGCTTTGGACCCACTGATTTCCTGGTCCCAATAATGCCCTGAAGAAATACAAAAAGTTACTACTGGAAGAGGCTGGGCCATAGAATTAAAAGATTTTTCTACTATTTTTGGCTGCTTTTTTAAATTTTTTGATTCTATAATTGCATCAAAACTTCAACAAATGATAAACAGAGATATAAACTGGATGTTGAGACTGGTATATGCTGGACATAACCTCTAGTTTTCAAAATTTTTATCTTTATTAAATTACACCATTGTTCTGACTTGATAACATGTAAAAGTGAACTATGGTTATGACACAGTCAAATAAATGTTTCCTCATAAAACACCACATAAGTCCAGCTGTGTTCAAAAGAGGATTCATTTCCGTTGTTGTCAAAGTTGAAAACTACTGAGGTATGAGAGAGAACATGCAATGAAAAGCAGGAGACAGGCTGGATCAGATCTCAGCTAATCAGCTGTCAAATGAAAAATGATTACACCCATCCTTGCCATTAAGACTTTCTTGTTAGGAAATGAGACACATGCAGCTAGAAGGCCACATAAGGACATCAGATGTTCCCCGGTAACATGTGGCTAACAGTCAACGAATAGAACTATGAACTGAATTGTATTCCCTCAAAATTCATATGCTGAAGTCTTAACTTGCAATGTGACTATATGAAGAGGTAGGGCCTTGAAAAATGTGATTAAGATTAAATGAGGTGAAGGATAGAGGCCTAATCAATGTGAATGATGTCCTTACAAGAAGAGGGAAGGGTGGGGCGTAGCTCAGTGGGAGAGCACTTGCCTAGCATGCAACAGGCCCTAAGTTTGATTCCCAGAACTGCAAAGGAAAAAAAAAATAGAAGAGGGAGAGACACAAAAGGGGTGCCCATTCAGAGGAATGACCATGTGAGGGCACAGGAGAAGGTGGCCATCCGCAAGCCAAGGACAGAGACCTCACCAGAAACCAAATAAACCTGGATCTTGCATCTCCAGCCTCCAGTACTAAGAGGAAGTAAACTTCTTTTTGAACCATGGGTCGGTGTGGTATTTTGTTATGGCAGCCCAAGAAAACTATTAAAAGTAGAACAGTGATGTGGTGTAGAAGGAGGAAAGAAGCTTGCTTAGAACTAGCTGCCTGATCTTCCACAGGGGGCCTGAACACAGTACAAAGTTGCAATTAATGGCAGATTTTTACCAAAACAGTATTTAATATATTCAAAGAAAAGCCAGCTACAAATCATATAAAAGAAAACCATATGACTAGATGCATACTGTTCACAAACAACTGGAGTTCCTTCATCTATATTCCTTCTTTCAATCAACCAACCAACAATGGTAACTGAATCTCTCAAGTCCTGAGTCAGGTTCTGGGGACACAGAGTAGAGGCCTAAGCTTGGCTCTGTGTACTACATAGTCTTTGGGGTAGATGGGAAGTAGGAGCAAGAGCTATGTGAGGATAAGTGCCTCCCCAAGCTAAGCAAGGGGAGCAGAAGCACAGAGCAGAGGTGTCTTCCAGAAAGAGCTCTGGCAGCCATCAAAATGGACCTGTGAATCCCGGGAAACAGCAGCCATTTCTGGGGCTAGTATGTGCTTTGGCAGCCCTGTTAATAGATAGAGGTCAACACACACACACACACACACACACACACACACACACACACACACACAGAATTTCTACAGCCCCCCACCAGCAGGCCTGTGTCAGCTATCCTTCAAGTGAAGCATGTTTTCCATTGCTTATCTACTAATTCTATTAAAGAGACAGTCCCAAATAACAAAGCACAGATTCATTGTTTTGTTTTATTCTTTGGGTGGTGCTGGGGATAGAACCCAGGGCCTTATGATCATTGGTTGTTTTTTGACACCTGCTCTTCCATCTGTTTAGAGGATGTATGAAGTTAAAAAAAATCATTTTGTAAACTAAAATACATGATATAAAAGTTAGATAACAGGATGTTAGATTTTAACATAAGCCAAAGTGATCATTTGACATATTAAGAAACCCAAAACAGAGATTGCCCAGGGTCGCCCAGCTCATCTGTGGTACAGCCAGAGGAAAGACTTGGGGTTACCTACAGCTGAGACCTCATGAGAAGCATAAGTTGTTAAAATCTAAATTTCACAATATTAGATATTTTTGCATCCTACTTTTTTTCCTTTAGTTTTACTATAATTTGAAGCATGCACAGGTCATGATTTTGCTTTAGGCAATACAGTATTTGGAGCTCCTAGTTTGTAAAGGTTTGTGCTATGACAAACCAAATTGGAAAGCTCTTGGTGTTTCCTCTCTTAACCAAGCATTCTATTCCTATACCCTAAGAGTGTTTTCCATTTGAAAGCTCTGAAAAGTCGAGAGTAAGCCACTTATCATTGAGAACAGGGGAGGAAAGGAAAATGATAAGTGAAGGAGAAGGTGTAGAAAAGAAGAAGAGAAGAGAAGAAAGGGAAAGAGGAAAAATGTGTTCTTCCAGCACTGCACATTGGTATCAGTGTTGTTTGTCTAGAAAGCAACTGGCCTATGCGAGGGTTGGTAGAGGAGACTGATCTTACAACTACATGGTCACGCTTCACTCTTAGGGCACTCAGTAAAGATCAAATGCATGTGCAAACATAAACCACTACATGTCTTTTGTTGTTGTTGTTATCGTTGTCTGCATTTTGACTCATTGTACATAAATGGAGCACAACTTTTCATTTCTCTGGTTGTACACGATGCAGAGTCACACCATTCGTGCAATCATCAGGTACATAGGGTAATAATTACCATCTCATTCCACCATCTTTCCCACTTCATACCCACTCCCCTCTCATCCCTCTCCTCTGCCCAATCCAAAGTTGCTCCATTCTTAACTTGCCTACTCCAAACCCACTATGGATCAGCATCTACATGTCAGAGAAAGCATTTATTTGTCCTTTGGTTTTTTAGGATAGGCTTATTTCGCTTAGCATGATATTCTCCAACTCTATCCATTTACCTGAAAATGCAGTAATTTCATTCTTTTGTGAGGCTGAATAATATTGCATTGTGTATATATACCACAGTTTATTTACACATTCATCTCTTGAATGGCATCTGGTTCCACAGTTTAGCTATTTTGAATTGAGCTGCTATAAACATTGATGTAAACCATTACATTTCTATCTCATGACAATTGTGTTACTGAGTTCCCTCTTGCCTTGGTGACCAAGATGCTTAGAGTCAACTGCACCCTCAACTGCAGACACCAAGGGCGGCTAGTGGCTCTTCCCCTTTGGTTTAACTTTTCCTATCTTATTTAGTAACCCTTCAGCTAGATGCCTTCTGCCATAAGCAACTTCAAAACTTGTCAGGAAAAAAAAAAAAGTCAATTAACTAATTTACAAGAAAAGAACCAAAAGGAAATACTGAACTTGCTCACTGAAAGCTCATTCAGATTGGAGGTATAATTAAGAATTTGAGGATGCATCAGCCCCTTGCATCATTATTTGAACTCTAAACTTACCAACAGTGTCGCACGGCTCATCTTTGTGAACGCAGAAATCTGTCCTAAAAAAAAAAAAAGAGAGAGAGAGAGAAAGAGAGTCAGACATAGTCAGGTGAATGTGGTTTACTAGGAAAATGGGAGAAGAAACACTGAAATTAACCTTGATTATGGTTTCAGTTGTCATAAGTCATAGTGACATACCATAATTAACAGAGTTTGCCAAGAGAAATTGGCCTATAACATGTCCAAGTGCAAGCCCAGTTACCCTATGAAGGCCCTCCCTTTATAGCTAGACTATTCTATTAAAAAATAAGTTGCTGAAAAGATTCCAACAGCTGAAAAGGTTTTGGAAGATGTTTGTTAAATTATCGATTGAAAACAATTATCAGTCAGTATCATCAAACTGCAACGGCTTCTCCAAGATCCTCTATTTGGTCAGCAACTGCTTCTAATGACCATGAATCATGTCTATGAGAAGTCAATAAAAAAGTCATTTCTGAAAATTGTATTCTTCGAAGCTCTCCACAATCCCTCAGGTACGCAGCTGTAGTTCAATGAGATAGCAAAGATGCTCAAAGCCTGGTCCAGCCCCAGTTCTTCAGGCCCAAGGGTTCACTCTTGCCTCCCATGGTGAAATGAGGGATTAGACCCTACTTTTCCAACAACGAGCAATGTTCCAAAAGTTCTCAGAGTCACTAGTCAACCAAGAGAGCTGAATGGGGGGGCAGCAGGCTGCCTGGGAGCTGGGGGAGGAGAGGGCGGCCCCAGTAGCAGGCCATCTTGGGCCACATGCCCATCTTCTCACAGGGCCCATAGACAGCGCTCACTCACCTGCAGCTCTACACACACCCAAGTACAGCTGCAGGTTTCAGAACATACCACTCCGCATTTTCCTTCTTAAAAGTCTGGGAAGGAACATGGTGCTAGCCAGACAACGCCAACACTAAGCAAAGTTATGGGGGGAAAGGGAAGCACTGGGTGGGCCACAGCTTTTCTTCTCCTACCAGGTAACATCCCCTTGTTTCTGGCCCACTGTTCCTGCACTCTGGCATTCACTCTCCTCCATTCCTCCCCTTCCCTCTACCTACAGCTAATCTCAGGGCAGGATTTGACCTGCCATTCACATGGGGGTAATGATAGAGTGTGTTACTCTCCTGACCACTTTTAAAAACATTATTTATTTTATTGGTTCTCTTTAGTTATTCATGATGAATAGTTACATTTGATATAATTATACAAGTATAGAATATATCTTATCCTAGTTAGGACCCCAGTCTTGTGAATGTATTTCTGGCCTCTATTCATACTTCAGCCTGCTCTATCCCACATCACACTTTATTAGTGTTTTCCCTGAAGCATAACCCACATCTGAAAATTCTCAGCCCAGCATGGACAGTGGAGCAAACCCTGCATGTCTCCAGCCCTGACTCTGTTTCTGGATCAGGGATGGGACTCATAAAAGATCCCATCAGATCACTTGCACTCAAAGACACTGGATCTGTAGTTTTAGGAGGCTCTGCTAGAGCTCTGGTGTACAGAATCCCAGGTCCAGAATGACTGCCTCAGGCCAGTGATCCCACAGGTATAGTGGACATTTTATAAGCCCAGAGTGGGTAAGGCAGGTGGCAAGGTCAGATATGACAGCTTAGAAGGTACAGAGAGAAAACAAAGAAGAGCTGGGGCCAATCATGTCAGCAACTCACACGGGTTTTACTTTGCTGGAAATTTCAAATTTTCTCAGAATGTATATATTTTTGGTAATTGATTTTTTGGTCAATTTGTAATTTTGTTATTATTTACTGACAAATAAAAAGTACATACATTTATACAATACAATGTATTTAGTAATGTGTATACATTACTAAATGATTCAATTCAGCTAATGACCATATCCATTGCCTTACTTACTAATCAAGCTTCTTTGGTGAGAAAATGTAAAATCTACTCCCTTAGCAATTTTCAAGCATTCAGTATTACTATTAACTACAGTCAATGTGCTGTCCAACAGATGTCCAGAACTTAGTCCAGGTAATAAATTTATAAACTATTTTAACAAGGGGAGAAATAAGACTCCTGTACCCCCAAACCAAGAGAACTTCATGGAAATTGAGAAGGAATAACCATGAAGAATTGTAACAGCAAGCTGCCTTCTGACCTAATTTTTCTGTCAAAAAGTTCCTCTTAATTAACAGGCAGTGAGAGTGATAGGGAAGAACATTGATCCCGGGGAGCTAAATGGGAAGATCAGGGCAGCAGAAGTGTCCCAGCAGTATAGCAATGGCTGGTCCTGTGTGTTTGCTTGGGTGTCTGCCTAGCACTCTCAGCAGAAGTGCAGACCGAGGCTTGGGGGAGAAATCCTGTGTTCCAGATATTCTGGGTCAAAAGCAGAGCCAAAGGTAATATGTTTCAGGGGCTGAGACCCCGGGTCCCTAATCCTCTGTGTGTGCCCAATTTGACCCCCAGACCCAATTCACTCAGTGGCTCTCTCTAGCCCCAGACACAGCTGCAGAAAACTTCATTTCTGCTGATTCTGGCTCAGCAGTGTCTGCTGGACATGATGTCATATGCTCACAGCCTCCGCAGTGGCTGTCTGTCGATTGGTGGGCGTCCAGAACACACTCTCAGGCCCAGACACAGCACATCAGGGGGAAAGAAAACAAAGGAAACCTTCACATCTCCAGTCCTCAGCCCAGGACACGGGGATTCCGTCCCCTGAACAATGCCTTGCCTGCACAGCTCCCACTGCAGACACTGAGGTCAGATTACTCTGGGAGGAAAGAACTGCTTCAGAGCAGCAGCTGCCTCGCACCCAATTTCCTTGCAAAAACATCAGTCCATTATTATCCCAGCCTAGGGAATTGAAGCTCTCTGCCTCTAATTATTAAACGATGCTTCTCAGCCAGCTCCAACTCCAACACTACCTCCCCACCTCATGGGAGGTCTTCAATTTAACATCTGCGTGGGCTCAGAGGATGTGGCTGTGCACTGATCCATTCAGTCCGGCAGCGCCACAGAAGCAGGTGGGAGGAATCATGAGTACTTGGGTAGCTTTGAGGTGTCAGCATGAAACAGAGAAAGAAAACACAGGCTCCTGGGCTGCCTCAGGTGAAGAGCAAGGCAGGAGGCCATACATCTGCTCCTCCAGGGACCCACTGCCTGCAGGTACAGGAACCTGTTCTTTTTATCTCTGGAAGAGGACACTTCTTGCCCCCAGCACACCCTCACCCAGAACCACACCCATGCAGTTAATATACCTCCCCAACGTGCTTAATTAGAAAAGAACATTTTAAATAAAACTGTATTATGGTGAAATACATGTAACACAAAATCGACTATCTTAGCTATTATGTATACAGCTCAGTAGTGTTGATTACATTCACAATGTCATGAGCCATAGTGACCACCTAGCTCTAGAACATTTTCATCTTGTAAAACTGAAACTCTGTAACTATTAAACACCAAGTTCCCTCTTGGCTCTACCACCAGGCCCCAGTCACTACCATTCTACTTTGTGTCTCTATGAATTTAATGACTCCAGGTACCTATTAGAAGCAGAATCATTCAGTAATTATCTTTTTGTGCATATTTCACTCAGCATCATAATGCCCTAATGGTACATTCAGGCTATAGCATGTGTCAAAATTTCCTTCCTTTTAAAAGTTGAATAATATTCTATTGTATTATATGCCATACTTTATCTATTCACTGTTAATGGTAATTCGATTTGCTTCTACCTCTTGTCTATCAGGAATAATGCTGCTGTGAACAAGGGGGTACAAATATCTCTTTAGCATCCCTGCTTTCAGCTCCCTTGGTTCTTAGTGCCTGAAGGTACACCAGCCACATCACACACAATCAGAATTACTGAAGACACTATTTCTAAAACATCCCCATTATACATTCAATCATCTTATATAAACAGAAAATGTTCTCATAAGGGAACTGTATTCTACAAAACACATTTTAATCCTTAGGGTTGGCATCTGACAAATCATCTTGAAGAGTGACCAGGCATCTATCTGGGGTCTAATGGTGGCATTGCACATGTGTTGAAGATATATGCCCAGATGCAGGACTGCTGGATTTTTTTTTTTTAAGGATCAATTATACTGTTTACCACAGTGGTTGTATCATTTATTTTCCAACCAATAGTGCAATAGTGCATAAAGGTTCTGATTTCTCCACTTTCTTCTAACAGTTGTTATTTTCTAGTTTTGTTTCACTGTAGACACCCTAATAGGCATAAGGTAAAGAAAAGAAGACTTTACACAAATATTTTCTTCATGGCAAGAAAGCTGTTAGGAGGCAGAAAAAGAAAAGCAAGTGTAATTGGCAGCATCTCTGGGCCTAGGGTATGTTCATGTATGCCCGTGGCTATCTGTAAAAGGGCCAATCCAGAAGCTTTATCAACTCGGATTTTGGTGACATCTGTGTCTCCTGGAACAAATGCTATTCATTCCCAACACAACACCTTTACTTATGCTTTCTCCTCCCAGTTCTGGAGATCTAGCATGGCCTGGTGACTAGTTACTATATTATATTCGTACATTTTAACGATTCTTACCAAATACATGGTAGTAAGATGGCTATAGGATGGATATGTTCATTAGCTAATAATGAAAGGAAATAGAGAAAAATTTTTTCCAATATCGGAAAGGTTCCCATATTAGTATTTTTTTTTAACAAAACAGAATTTTAAACAACATAGAATTTATACATTTTATGCAGTGTTTATGAAAACCACTTTCAAAGTAGGGTACTTGGAAGTTTAGTTGCATATTCCAATGATGAAGTTGTTTAGAACTGCTCTTTAGGAAAAACTTTAAGGTCTGATTTAATTTTCATTTTTAAAAAATTAGTCACATTAATTTATGGCCATGCATAGACATGGTTCCCAGGATTCCTACTAGCTCCTTAAATGGAATCTACTCTCAAAGCATGATACCCATAACCCCCTCACTGCAATCAGTAGGGGATGCTATGGAAAGCCCCACAAGCTCCAAATTGCCATTTCCCAGTATCCTGAGCAATGGCAACCTCTGGTCCATGTGAGTGGCCTACACGCCGAGGAAGATGGTAACTGGGGGGTTCCCAGCACTCACCCATGGATAGGTCCAGACCAAAAGCACATGCCAGATCATGTTCATCCCTTGGTTCTTAGTGCCTGAAGGTGCACCAGCCACATCACAGGCAATCAGAATTACTGAATAGACTATTTCTAAAACATCCAATTATACATTCAATCACCTTATATAAGCAGCAAATATTCTCATATGGGAACTGTATTCTACAAAACACATTTTAATCCTTAGGGATGGCATCTGACAAATCATCTTGAAGAGTGACCAGGCATCTATCTGAGGTCTAGTGGTGGCATTGCACATGTGTTGAAGAGAACAGAGCTGCGTTAGCTGGTTGCTGAGGCTTGGGCCACAGAACTTCCCTAACTGGCACTGGGATATCTTTGGGCTAGAATGTGCAGCACAGGGCCCAAAAGATGCAACCAAAGAGCCAATTTTCATCAAAACCAAAATATTAAATGGAATTTAACACATCATGGATAGACAGGTTGTCTCCAAGCTAAAGACAAGACAAAGTTCTTCATTCCACAAATTTATCTCTAAACGAGGAAAAAGTATAGAGTTTGGAATTTAAGTTTTAAAAAATTTACATCCTTAAAATTCAAAGTTGATACATTCCTAGCAACTGTGATGAAATACAGGTATTTTTTAATCTAATGGATTAATTCATTTCCTATAGCAGGATTTTGTTATGAACACATTATAATATTTTTTACAACCAAGAGATAAAGATGTAGAAAAAAAAGTAAATAACCACATCTACATCGGCAGTGATTTGAATTGTGTCCCACAGATAAGATGGTCAAGTCCTAGGCCCTGCTACCTGTGAATGGAACCTTGTTTTAGAAAGAGGGTGACTGCAGATGGAACCAAGTTAAGACGTGGTCATGTGGATTAAGGTGGGCCCTAACCCAATGACTGGTGTCCTTTCAAAAAGAGGGGAATCTGGATATAGAAAAGTACATGCAGCAAGAAGCCCACGTGAGGATGGAAGAGAGGTTGGAGTGATGCCATCTACAAGTCCAACGAGTGCAAGCATGCCAAAGAATGCTAAGGGCTACCAACAGCAGCAGGAAGGACAAACCCTCCCCTAGAGCCTTCAGCAAGAGCATTGCCTGCCAACATCTCCCTTTCGGACATCTAGGCTCCAGAATGTAGAGGGATAAATTCCCATTACAGTCACCCCATTTGTGGCCATTTGTTACAATAGTTCTAGAAACTAAAGCAACACTGCCACTTGCTGCTTTGGAGGCTGCCTTGGGTTTCTGTTGTACATTGCTGGCCCCCTGGAGTCCCTCTCAGTCTAGAACGGTAAGTCCAGTTCTGCAGCCTATAAAGAAACTTCACTGTTTTCTTCAAGTGCAGGCTGCAGGTGACTTCCACAGACATCCAGAAAGTTCCAGTGGATCCCATGCTACCTGTCAATGGCACATCTAGCAAGGCCTTGTGGAGCACGCACATGCCTATGTGGACTTCCTCCCTCAGGAAATTGGTGGCATCCACTCTCCTCCCTAACAGTGTTCCAAAGCCAGTGTAAAGCAGCTGCAGACCCGTGTGAGCTCCTTCCCAGACGGCATTTTATTTATTGGGGGAATAAATAATAAACTTTCTTCCAAGTTCTAACTCTTGGTTATCTAAGATTTCGGTATTTTTCTAATATTCATATTAGAATGAATGGCTGACTCTTAGTGCTAGGCAGTGGGAAGAACATGTCCATAAAAGTGGGTGCTCTCGTTAATCCCTATTTTATTGATGAGGGAACCGAAGCCCAGTTAGGTAGACAAAGGTCTGATGTCAGCCTGAATCCTAACAGCATGCCCTAGAAAGGGGAACATCTCCTCCCTCTTGCATGTCAGCCATAGATTGACTCTAAATTTACCTGGTCACAAATACAGCAGCATCCACAGGGGGTGTATCGTCCTTCCCTCCTGGAACCTGATTGTTACCGAGGTACCGCGCACCTCCATATTCCTCATTCTGCCAATGACAGAAGCTCTCCAGGGACCGCTCACCATGGTGCCCAATGGACAATTTGGCCTAAAAGAAATTGAGGAGGCAGTCAGAGAAGTGGACACCCAGGGAAGCAGAGTGTCCATCCAGACTGCAGTATGGACATTAAACTGGAGACAGCTGCTAAGACATCATTTTATGACTTGTTATCTCCAAATAAAAGAATAACACAAGCGGGTATTCAAGAGACCTTTGAAGAGAACATCAGGGACCTTATCTTTCAATTCAAAAGAAAAGCAATCTACTTTTCTGTAAACACAACAGTGTACCCAACCAAGCAATGTGACCTCAATCTCACGTTGATGGCCCAATTGTATAGGTATCATGTTCATGGGGGAGTGCCCTGAAAGACAAGACCAGGGAACACTGCTGCAGTGACTGCCACTGGGATGGAAGCTCCACGAGGTTGTCATGATTCTAAAGGCCCCTGGAGCTTCGTACATATCTGAGAACCTTCGCAAGACCTTCCAGGAGGGGAGAGGGATGGGCAGGATCCCACTGGCAGGGCTCTTCTGTGATTCAACTCAGCCAATGCCAGTTACATATAACTGTGTGTTCTCTGAGAGGTGCCCTTGGGGACTTACAGGACGTTGTCGTAGGAGGACAAGCTTGGTAACTTGAATGTTGATTTTAATTCCGAGACTCTGGTGCTGAAACATATTGTATACCTATTAAGAGAGAAAAAGATACAAAATATCTTTTAAAATACAGTGGAATCTTGGATGGGGGCTTAGAAGAGAGAAAAGTTAAAGAGAGGAAAGATAGCAGGTAGAAACTAAGGCAATCTGAATACACTATAGACTTTACAGTAACGTATCAGTATTGACCCTACAAACATACCATACTAAGATGTTAAGAATAAGGGGAACTAGGGGCTGGGGTTGTGGCTCAGAGGTAGAGCACTCGCCTAGCATGTGTGAGACATGGGGTTCCATCCACAGCACAACATAAAAATAAAATAAAGGTATTGTGTCAACTTACAACTAAAACATAAAAATAAAAACAATAAAGAAAAAGAATAAGGGGAACCATGTCTAAATCTCTGTACAATCTGCTCAACTTTTCTGTAAATCCAAAACTGCTCTAAAATACAAAGTCTTTTAATAAAGATCATATTAAAATGCAGCATGTGCTCTTCGATAATAATACATAATTCAAATTTTGGTGTTGATAAAGATTAGAACAAAATATACATATATGGGAGAAACATGCCCAGATTTTATTTCTAAGGTTTTCTGAGATAAAAAATAACGCCCTTCAAAGCAAATCTTCCAAAATAAAAATAGATATGATAGAAATCTCTGGAATCACACATATGCACATGCATACATATACACCCGAAGCTAAGCTAGAAACCCATTAGCTTTTCAGAAAAAAAAAAAAAGTGTTAGGTCAGGAATTTTTTAAAAAAAAAAAAAAAAAAGACATGGATGTTAGATGATTCTGGTCAAATATTCAAAACTCCCATTCTGGGCTTTCATGCAAGAAGATGAAGGCAGGGAGGAGACAGGAGCCTGCTGTGTGCCAGCCATGGTCATCTCTAACCCTCACCACCACCCTCAGCTGGGAAACAGCTCAAGCTAGAGCCACCTGATAAAAACAGCCAAAGGTGACTTGACCCAAACCCAGGCTCCTCTAGCCAAAATATTCATTTTCTTCTTTATTCCCTGAAGTCCTCATTCTAACCAAAGTTTGTCACTGAGAGAAATTATGGTAACAAAGGGATATGTCCTTCTCAGTGTAGCCCCTTGTTATGGTTCAAGTGTAATTTGAGTGTCCCCCAAATGTCCATAAGCAAAGATTTGGTCCTTAGGGGGTTCCAGTGGGAGATGCTATGAACCTCTAGGAGGAGGGGACTTGTGAGAGGCCCTGAGGTCATGAGGGATGGGAGACATCCCCAAAAAGGACTGTGGGACCCCACTCTTGCTCTCACTGGTTTTTGGCTTGAAATGTGACTGCTTGCTCTGACATGCATGCCTGTCATTATCATGTGCCGTCTTTGCAAGACGCCAAAGCGATATGTCTACCTGATTTTGAACCTGAACCTCCAACACTGGGAGCTCAGCAAACTTTTTTACTTTACAAGTTAGTAACCTTGGGCATTTCATTATAGTAATACTAAACTGACTAATACCCACTTCTTGTTGGCAGAACTTAATTGTAAGGACTTCAAAATCAGAAGTCTGGGAAAGTGTTCCAAAGAGAAGAGATGAAGGGAATCTTGAATAAGGCAGAGAAATCAAAGTTGATGTGACAAAGAAAGACCACTGACTTTAAAGATCCCTTGACTTCCTTGTCTATAAGATTACTCTGAGAGGTTCAGTGGGGAAGGTGATAAAGGACCCAGTAGTAGCAGGACACAGAGGGAACAGGGATGAGAACTTTCTGAATGTTCTATCTTGTTTTTACTCATAGATACAATTCAGAGAGGAGAATTTTCTTTTTAATTTTTTAAACTTTTGTTCTAATTAATTATACATGACAGTAAAATACACGTATTTTATATCATGGAGTATAATTTCTTTTTTCTGATTGTACACATTGTAGAATCACATTGGTCATGCAACCATATTTGTACATAAGATAACCTCTGCTTCATTCTACCATCCTTCCTATCCCTGTACACCATCCTCTCCCTCCACTCCCCTCTATCTAATCTAAAGTAACTCTATTTTTCCCTAGCCCACTTCCCCCCGGGGAAGAATTATCTACCAGCAATATTGTCACTTTTTTCTATTTGGTGCTTTGTTTCCACTACTGACTCATCATCATCAGCAGAAGCAATGGCCACTGCAGACGGCATAGCCAGGTCAACTCAGGCCAAGTGGAGCTGGTCAATGACACAGTGCCTGGCCTGCAAGTCGGGCAGGCAGTGCTGAACGCATCTGTGTAACACAGGAATTAGCTGCATCATGGCTTGGAATTTACTGTGCAAAACTGTTGTTACAGTTAATAAAATCTGTGTAACTTAATAGTTTTTCCCACAAGGAAAACTAGAACACATTCACTTTTCTGTTCTCACATTTCCACCCCCGACACAAATTTCCTTTCCTTAGGAACAAAATAGCAGTCATGTTTTAATACTGGATCACCTTTAGGCTCAATCTGAAGTTGTGTCTTCATTATCTATCCCCAGCCCTAGAGGAGAAGGGGAAAGCATGCAATGTTTTCCTTGTTTTAGTATTTCCAGAACACCCAGGGGCTCTAACTCAAATTTTTCCTGAAATATTCAGCATAAGAATTGGACTCAAACTGGTAAACCTCAGTTTGAAACATGAAAATAAGAATGAACAAAGATGTAGTTATGAAGGAGAAAAGTCGAGTTGCACAGGATTTTGTTTTAAGGTGACTTAAACAAAACCCATGAGGCTGGGGGTATAGCTCAGTTGGGCAAAGTGGGTGCTTAGCATACACAAGGCCCTGGGAACCCTAGCATCAAAATAAAGAAGCAGAGCCTATAATGTCAAAAGTATCTAAACACTAAAGATATTAAGAAATGTTGTAGATTTCAAAAAAACAATGTGGAAAAGCACCTCTCAGTAATATTCTGAACTGCTGCATTAATAAAGAACCTCAGGGAATGATTGAAATGATCAGGGAGAATAAAACGGCAGGACAAGCTCCCTGTAAAAATCACCCATTTGTTCCTTGCTGAGCTGGACATAGTTCAGAACCAAATTCATTCCATACCCCAAGATTCAGTCCCTTCCCTTGGAACAAAAGCATCAAAATTTTAAAAAAGAAGAATAATTTGAGATGGAAGAGGAAAATAAATTCAAAATTCCAGGGGCTTGAGGACAGGGTGAAATGGGGAGCTAATCAATAGCTATGTAGGGTCAGTTTTGCAAGATGGGAGAATTCTAGCGACTGGTTGGACAATGACGTGTATATACTTAACACTGAATTGTGCTTTAAAAGGGTTAGGATGGCCAGTGGCACACATCTGTAATCCCAGTGGCTCGGGAGGCTGAGGCAAGAGGATTGTGAGCTCAAATTCAGCCTTAGCAACTCAGTGAGGTCCTAAGCAACTCAGCAAGACCCTGTCTCTAAATAATACACACACACACACACACACACACACACACATATGTCTGTATATATATGTGTGTGTATATGGGCTGGGGATGTGGTTCAGTGGTTAACAGCCCCTGAGTTCAATTCCTGGTACCAAAAAAAGAAAAGAAAAATAAAAGTTAAGATGGTAAATTTTATGTGTATTTTATCAAAATTAAAAGTTTCATGCTTGGAAAAATATTCTCTAGAAACCCCTGTAATATTAGTGTTCTGGTCCAAGAGGGAAGGTATCAGAGCCTGATGATAGCACTTCATCATTAGCTGCCTGCTGACCACATTCCAACAAAGCTCTGCAGAACACCAGGCAAGGGCAGGTGGACACCAGGATCTCCCTCGAGGCCCCACACCAGGTACAGCAAGCCAGATGAATACCCCATGACAGCCATGAAACACAAGATGCATGGCCAAGCCTGTGTCTTTTCTCCGAGGAAATTCAAGCTCAGAAGTAGTCCTAGAGATAGCAGCCACATGATGCTTAGGGAGACACCTGGCTGGGCATGGAACACTGTAGAGTCTGGAAACTCTGTCCCTAGTGTCCAGCTCTGGCAATGTCCCAGTGAATATTCAGAGCCCTGGCAGCCTTTGTCACATTTCCTTGGCAGCATGGGGGCCAAGCCAGGTGGACCTATTGCCAACAACTCACTGTGGCTCTCACTGGGCAACCTGAAGACACTGTGAGGAATGAGGGATGGCAGAATGAGGGAGCACAGAAGAGTAGGTGGTGGGGCAGGTCGGGAGAAGCTGCTGGTACACCAGGCAGAATTTTCACAAGGTCACCATCTCTGGGCATGACCCTAAGCATGCCCAGAGACAGACAGGCATCCTCAGTTAATAGCATCCCAACAGGAAGGGGCTACATTTTCTAGTCCCCAAAGCAGAAACATCAACATTCCCAGGGACACATGCTGAAATGTATACCCTGAAGTCCTCTCTAGACCCTCCTAAATCAGAGACTGGAGGTGGCCAGGCCATCTGTGTTGAACAAACCCCCCAGGGCTTCTTACTCTCCCCTGGAGTATGAGAACCAGTGAGGGTTTTAACACTGTGCTAATTTTGATGGTCACCAGAGAAAGGTTTGTTGTCTATTTCATATGGTAATTAAGTGAAATTGATGTCATTTTTCCTCCAAAGACAGCCTGCCTGGAATGTCTCAGGTTTTTCATTCCATTCCATGGTTGTTAAGGAAGCTAAGAACAACCAAAGCTCTGTCAAGTGGCTCTGTTTTCCAATTTGGCTGCTCAAACAGGGAGTTTCTGGTGTCCGCACCACCTGTTTCCATCTGCAATTTGTTCTTTAAAATCACGTATGCAAAAAAGGCTCAACACATCTTCAAAATCCACAGCAGCCAAACCAGCACCAGCCTGGTGGAGGCTTCCTTCTCTCCACATAGCTGCATGGCTTGGCTGGGGACACAATGCCAGGAGCAGGACTCCACTCCCCTGGAAAAGAGCTGGGCAAAAGAATTTATTCATTACAGTGCTGGGGATGGAACCCAGGTTCTCACGCATGTTACGCAAGCACTCTACCACTGAGCCCCAGCCTCAGCTCTAGGAGAAGCTTTTAAAACAGACATCAGTGCACAGTGCACACTGCC